TTCAATATTCGCCATGTTATGACATCGTGTGTTACGTTTCTGCTCGCGTCCCGTGACTATCCGACGATAAGCAGTAAGTTCTGCTTTTTTGCTCCTTAAGATGTGCACTCACACTACCGCGGTGCCCTCTTAAACTATAGTGCAACGACTAGTGCAGTGATATCGCAACATTCCGCCCTAAATGCAACTGAGCTACTGTGAACGCGAGGAAACTGCTTAACACGGGCGCTCGGTGAATCCCATTGGTAAAGGTCAAATATCTTCAATTATTGAATAACCAATACGCTATATGACCTCAGGTCTTACGCTATATGGCAATGAGTTGCATCATTTTCGGGTAATGTTCATTTCTTTTTTTTTTGAAAGATCATAGTTTTTCTTGTGTAGTGACGAAGAGTGGCTCAGGGACTCGGGCTCGCGGGGAGCTACAAAGGCAGGCGAGAAAGACGAGACCGATAACGAACAACCGAGCTGCAGCAAAGGCGTTAAATCTGTCTTATTTCTCTACAATGGCACAGTCTATACAACCTACGAACCATAACTGGGCTCCGTGGGTCTTTGCTGCCATGGGTTTGCCTTCGAATGTCGCTCACGGCACCAGCGACCACCGCTCATAAAGCCGACGACCCTCCAGCAGCCGGGACCATCTACGCCTCCATTCGAGAACGGCACTCAGACCATCTCAATGGCTTCTGGGCAGGCTTGCCCCAGCCCCACCAAGACAGTACATAGCCTGCCGTTATAAAACGGCTGCTTAAATTATTCGACTACTGCTACTTGCTAACAAAACCACTACAAAAGTTCACGTTAGCTTGCGCAGCCTTGCACCTGCTTGCACCTGACACTTGTGGCCTTTATTGCTGTGTTCCTGCTTTAGTTTTGGATAACAGAGTGAGCTGTTGAGAACATTAGCAACTGTTTCTAATTGATCAGCATAAAAAAAGTGAAGGAAGTAACGCTGGAGTGCTGAAATTCAACTTGCCGCAAGGCTGCTGTAGGCCGTATGGCGCCGAGAGAACGATGGTAATGCTAATTTATGCACTACGCAATATACTCATGCCGGCTGACGCAATTTCCTTAGGTAGCTCCATAGTTCTCTCTACCGTACTATATCGTGTAACTGAGTACCATCGCGGAGAACTTGTGAGCTCTGGATCAATAATGTCGCACCGGCGTAACTAATGTCTACGCTATGAAGCAAAGCCAACGTCATGTTCGAATAGAGAACGAACATAACCCTCCACGGCACAGTGGGCGTGACCTCCGTTATTACGTCACGCACACAACTACTCCATTTGACAATGACGTCAGCTTGCCTTGTGACTCTTAATGGCCGAACACAAAACAATCTGGCGCAACCGGCTGTACGAAGATTAATTCGAATGACGTCAGTTGCAATAGTTCGTGGAATCAGTTCATCGTATTTTTGTAAAGCAACAATATGCTTCGTTGAGTCATCTACTTTTTTTGTCATGCACTGTCGCATTTTAGAAGAGGGCGAACGGTGAACTCAGTATCTGTTGGCTAAACTCTGTTGTGTTCACAGTGGTAGAACAGGCCCCCGATTCTTTACAAAACAATATAGCTTATGGGAAATCATTGTACAGAAAGTGCTCTGGCCTCAAATATTTTATTAATTTTTATATACATATTATACGCAGTCGTCGTTTCACTGGGTTACAATAGTCTAAAGCATTCATATGCGTGCACCTCTTTCGGCCTCCACCTATAGCGATACTGCAGGGTATTATTAAAAGAACAAGTGTGCGTGGTTTATTTTCTCCGAATAACAAACTTTCTACGTCTCGAGTTTTCCGCAATACGTATATGTAAGTTGTTACAATGTTACGAAGCGTTTTTCAAGAAATTAGCCTCTTTTTTAAAGCATTTTCACATTCGGACCTTTGAAAACATGTCAGTTCGAAGGAAAACACGAGATTTGGCGCGAATTGCGCGCACCACCCCCTCTCCTTGAACGCAGATTCATGAACATAGCCATTTCAAATCCCGGCTGCGGCGGCTGCATTTCCGATGGAGGCGGAAATGTTGTAGGCCCGTGTGCTCAGATTTGGGTGCACGTTAAAGAACCCCAGGTGGTCGAAATTTCCGGAGCCCTCCACTACGGCGTCTCTCATAATCATATAGTGGTTTTGGGACGTTAAACCCCACATATCAATCAATCAATGAACATAGCCATTGCGTGTATGACTGCACACTTCCTAATAAGCATTCGTAATGAATGTACGCTCCCGTCCGGATCGTTATAAAGCGCGTGACATACAGACTGCCATCACTGCTCGGCGGGGTGACATCATGCGGCACTTATTGGCTCTTACGCGTTATGACCAAGAGTACGTTATGACCAAGAGTACGTATAGCAATGGCATGCACATCGTCGAGCGTTGTTTAAACCATAAATGATGTTGGCAAGTCTCTCTGTTTTGCTAGCTGTGCGCATTACGCGAGGTTATCACCATATCTTCTTACGCAAATGCGTTTCTCGACACAGCCAGAAATGGTGCCTTGTTTGTTCTGAAGGAGTCGCGCGCATAATGTTTGACCGGAAGCTTTATTCAGTTGCATCGAGAGGTCGCAATCGCCTTGAGCACTACTACATAGTAATTTCGACAAGGACACATCAAAACGTTCCACTCGTGCAAAGCTATAGTCTGCGAGTATATTTAGACTACGGATGCATTTGAGCTCAGCACGCCAGGTCCCGCAACTGCAGCAGCGTCACCCCGCAGAACCATGCCAGCTGGTCGCGCACGTGACACTGGCCAGTACGTGCGGAATCGGTCAACCAACATGCGGATGCCAAAAGCAGTGGAACTTAATACATTACTCTATACGAGAGTGCTGTCCAGACCTTTGTATCTCCCAGCGGGTTCACTGAATAATTGAAAGAAAAATAAAGTTGTGCAGTTTGCCCTACATCGGGCAGGGCTATAGATCCCAGCAGAGCTGATGACCACCAAGCATGTGTTGGCTTGGCTTGACTTTCACCCTCTCACTACATCCTTTTGAACCTGTTCTACGACCAAACCATTACAAAGGGCATAGCTATAACGCTTCCTTGTCATTGATAAAGCGCATATAATGCCTCGCAGATGCATAGTGGGAACCTGGCTTCTCCCCCAGAACGACGTACATGGCGTATAGTGGGTGCTTACTTAATTAAAAATAAAATGACACTTATCACGTATGGGTACGATGCAGGCCGGTTCTAGAAAACGTGCGCGAAACTCGGTCGTAACAGATCTTCCGCGCAACACCTACAGGGCGTACGTGTCACAGATATTGCACAAAACTTACCACTCGCCAAGCTGGTCCATTAAAACCGAATAAGACAACACACCGGCGGAAAAAAACCCTATTCCGACCCTAGTCCGACTTCTATACGTACTTAACCAATAAAAATTTAGGGCACACCTAAATGGACCTGCATAAAATACATAAGAAAAACTTGAACAACACTATAGACACACATGCTTCGGGTACTCTTCTAAGCCATTTGTACATAATGCTGTCGCAGTGATTCAGCTTTTGTCAGTTCGTGATGACGATTGTTTTCTATCTGTAATTTAAGGCGAACCTCGACCATAAAAGCTCGGCTGTAACGAAAATATTGTTACATAATCTTTGCTGATCCACCAAAGATGGGCTGGCCGGCAGCGCTTCCCGTTCGTCCCACGTGCCATTTGTGTCGTGCTCTTCGCCGTGCTTTCTATACACTCCAACTTGACGTGAAAGAGTGTTGAGGTGGCTCCGCACAAAGAGCTGAACAGATTGCTCATGCCAGTGGGTTCCCGGGATAGGGATACCACCCTGCCGGACACACTACGCTCTTCACACTCTATGCTTCCTATGGGGCACTGGAGCTCCCGCATGTCGGGTTTATGCATGTAATAAAGCTTTGTAGTACTACTACATCAAGTTCGCAGCAACATAATTAAATTGCGATTAGGTCATATAATAACGCCAGTCCTGCGCGAAAGGCGCAGCACAGTCACAGTGAAAGCTACAAGAGCGGGCTTTCAGAGCCTTTCATAACACAAATTGGGTAACTACTGCAAGCGCACTTGCTTGATACCCACTAGGACAGTAAGAATATAATTTTTTGGGTAGCAGGCTGGCATTCGCTATGCTATTTTTGTATAATCATTCTGAGAAGCATCGTAGTCACTGAAACACTTGCAAGGAACCTTACGCCGATTCTTCATGCCGTGGCAGACGACGATGAGGAATTATGGCTAAAGTGGGTATGTGTTACAGTTAATAGTAAAGCAAGAACAAGCTTTTGTATGGGATGGAGCTAACGGATGACCCCTTCGTCATGCTATTCACGTTGAGCGATGACGGGTTGTTCTTTCGCTGTTTCAAAACGCTTTATAAGTCGTACTAACACGATTGATTTCCCCACATCAAGCCTGCCTAAGGCAAGTTTACCAACATGTCCCAAGTACCGGTGTGGCTCAGTGGTAGAATACTGGTGGCACCCACCTGACCCAGCCTCGAGCCCTACTGTGTTATTAGTGTTAGTTGTTGCGGTTACGGACACCGGCGGCAGCGGCGGACAACTGCGCGTGACCAGAGTCGTGATCTCATAACAGCTTTCGCTTTTCTAAACAAACAGCGTGATTCAACAGTTTGGTTTGCTTCTATCGGGCATTCCGTCAATAATAAATCGACGAATGATACTGAGAAGGCGTCTATTTAAAGAGCATTAGCCACGGGAGCATAGACATACCTCTCGCCCTCTCCTCCTCCCCTGCGGCTGCTAAACACGTACAGTAACCGCCCATAGAAGGAGCCGCAAATGCGTCGCCTCTCTAAATAACTTTATTTAGGAGGCGAACGCTTCATGCGACAATTTTTTGCAGCGCAAGTTGTCTGCGCTTTGCTGAAATAATCGTGTGGGAGAAACACAATGCACGATTGTGTTATCCGCGCATAAAGGTACGTTGCCTGCAGTTCACATTAACGCAAAGTGATGTGGCGTCTGGTACCGTATTCTCTTCGACAAAACAACGTGGCATACACCAAACGGCGCACAGGTGAGCAAGAGCGTTAGCACTGCGGTATATTACTTTTCCTAGACGAACCGGGTTTGAATTGAGCGATGTGTGTTATAAAAGAATAATGCTCGACTATCTGCAGTGAACTGGTAGGCACAGCTACAGAAAAAAATTTGCGAGACGTGCCTGCTGGTATGTCTGGGTAAACAGATTTATTCGCGTACAGGAAACTGCACTCAGAGAACGATATGCACTTTTGGGTGGTATAAAAAGGAATGCGATGATTTTTTCCATCTGCGTGCGCGTTATTTGATAGTTCAAATACAGCGAAAAGTATTAATCATCATTATGTTTTAATTACAGAGCTTTCATAAATACTTTTACTATTATGTAGACAAATCGTGCATAACAGCTCAAGCAGACATTACAGACTGTGTGGATATTGAATTTCGTTTCTTTCGTGAGTCAATGTAGCCTAAATAGCTTTTTTTTTCTGAGAACTGTATTCCCAGCGTCACTGCACACAATGATGAGAATCCTACTCTCAGACGGCCATTCTTCTTTAATATTCCACACTCTTTCTGCCTACAACATAGCTGCGTGCGTATGCTTACGCAGTCATAAATAAATGTAGTGTCTGAAATGATTTTCTCTTACCTCATCTATCACATAACGGACGCGCCCCACTTGGCACACTTTCGTCGTCTGTGTCCAGCCAAAACCGACGTTTGAAGGCAATCAACTACGGAATAGAACGGAGAATTCTTGCTCATTCCGACATCAAGAAATCGCCCATTGTGCCGGGAATACTGTTTACAGTTTTTTCCGTGCTTTGTCAGCATCATCTGCACAAAGAACACTACAGATACAGGACTCTTTGTGTCCCACATGCGACCACTAGACACGGGCAGCAGAATTTTTTCCTCTGGTCAAATCATGATCATTTCAATGAAGGCAGAGTCCTGCTCTTGCGTCTCAGTCGCGTGTTGGACATAAAGAGTTTTGTAGTAGTGCACTTAAAGTCGTTTAAATGGAGGGATAGCCCTGCGTTCCTACATTCGAAATGATTTCAATGACCACATTGAAATCATAGTGCTTTCAATGTTGTCTTTTATATCATTATGAACGACAGTATCATTGCACAGAAAAAATGTCAAAGGCCGTCATATTCGATCCGTGTATCGAAACCTATCGCAAAACTGTCAATAATGTCGCTTCATTCCCCTCGAGGATTCTCGAAAGACAGTAAAAGCATTATCATCATGGCAGTGCAACTGACTGGAGACATCACAGAAGTTATTGAAAGTCTCACAACGTATAAAATATCTGACACATTGGCGTGAGAGGGCATCATCTTCAGTACTATGAATTCCTTCTCCACAGAAACTATATCTCGCGAAAGCCTAACTGCAATTCACACTTTCATTGTTATAGTCTCAGTGACAACGCTTGTACGGCACTACTAATGCCTTCAAGAAACCCTTATTTATTACCGACGGCTGCTGAGCTACGGAATACTCTACAAGATGATGCACGAACAATTTAGCCGCATATTTTGATGTTTTTTTTACTTTTAATTTGCCAACACTACGCTGTTATTTCAGATTCTTGTCTCTTTTATTGGTGTTTATATTTACTTTTTCTTGTGTCACATTCTTTATATCCCGCTTTTCGAATTCACACAAGTATACTGTGCTTATTAACCTTTGTCCAACATATTATAACAATGTTCATACTATTATTTATGCTTATACTGTGCTTATTAACCTTTGTTCAACATATTATAACAATGTCCATACTATTATTTATGCTTTTCCAACACACATCTCTCTTATTTATTAACCTACAAAAATGGTCTTTATTAATGGATAAATGATGAGCTACTTTTCGCTAAACACTTGGGGTAAGAGCTAGGCTAACACCTCATTGCGCACATTTTATGCTCTACGAGAGCAGTTACCGGTAGGGTAAAAACAAGTATAATTACATGGGCGTAAGCAGGGCCCGTAGCACGTAAGCAACGGAACTGCTGGTCCATATCAGTAACACAGTGAATGTGAAAAAAAAAAGGCTTGTGCGCAAGGTTGAGACACAAAGTTAGGTGGGTAGGTGGGATTGATAATTTTCCTTATATGATAAGGCCACTGCCAATACTGGAGCGGGCTGATTGTAGAAACATGAAACAAGCCTTTTGTCTACAGTGCACGTGCCAAGGCTGATGATGATTATAACATAATGAATGTGGCGAAGACAACGGGTGTCAGATGTATGAATTCTAACAGGTGGAGTATTACGTAACGTATCCTCTCGTAATTGAGCTAGTCCATGCGACGAAAGGGTTCGTGCTGTTCATTTCTGAACGGCCAGAAAGTCAACTTTTGTTTTTGTTGTCCAGTAGCCCGATTGCAAAACAACGTCAGACCAGACCAGAACGCGCACTGCAATCACAGAAAAGACTAGATGAGCGGTCTTATGGAGTTCATATTAAGCTATCCTTGGGTGCCTAATCGAACCACACATGTGAGATATCCACGCGGCAATGAACAAAAACATTTAAAAGGAAGAGCACGCACTTAGGTAGCTGTTTTGTCCGAGGTAATTGAAGATGCGAGTTACTTGGTGGGATGCGAATAACTGAGTGGGAAGCCTTACAGCAGTCTTCCCACACGGCTCCTGTGGTGTGACGTTTGCTGCAACTTTATTCTTATGCCACGCAGTCTTGCATATGTGAATGCGTTTCTCCGCCATGACGCTTGAATAAGGTCATTTTGTCGAATTCAGGATCCACGCAGTGGCATAGCTTCCGCGATGGTAGCCACACCTGCCTGTCTGACATGCGAGTCTTCATAAACTGTGTGTACCACTTAGTGAGAACATATCAAATGATTATAAATGTATGCCATCATAATAAGAATTTTAAGGGCCTTCCGTAGAACGTTCCGAAAAAGGATGGTGCCTATACAGCTGATAAAACATTATTATTTTTTTCTAAAAGTTCGTAGCTTTCACAAATAACTGAAGTAACAAATGTGCCTTTGCTGTTTAATCAGACTTTTATAGGTAGCGTTTCTGCCTGTATCTTGTGGAATAAGGTTATGAATATTGACGAATTAAGAATTTCGCTCACACGCACAAGCACGTTATGTCCAGGCAAACCGGTATATATTCAGCCGCACAATGACACCGCATATAGTATGTCCAGTATATCTCGATACTGTAAGGCAACGTTTTGGCTGCAAGACACTTCTTTTACTTGCCGAGCGTCTGCCCCACAACACAGGTCAGACCGATGATGATGAGTATGAACATATGATAAGATGACGCGTATGAATACATACGCTGTGCAATATGCATCTTTTATTTAGCTATAGAATAAATATTCATTATTATTCTGACTTTCAGAAAAACATTCACCAGAACACTTCAGCATGAATCCGTACGAATAGGAAGGCGATGCAAAACTATTGGAAACCACTAAAATTGTAAAACGTCATGCTATATGTTTGATGAGACGATCATTTAATGATAAGTAAGCCAATTGTCAGCACTAGGCAAGGCCTTGCTTGTAATTTCACTTTCATTTAGGATATCATGCTTCGAGTGCAGCAATAACAGAACTGAACCGATTTAGCAGTCAGTCTTAGCTCCAGTGCGTAACGTTTTGCGCGACTGCTCTACTCACTTCAAGACGTGACTCCTAGTACAACGGCAAATAATGAATGTTGCAAAGATATAATGCTATACTGCATGGAGTTCACTGTTTTTTTTTTTCACCATTGTGTAATTTTCTGCCCTCTTTTTTCAGGCAATGATGCCTTCCTTGGGACTCGGTTGCGGTCTGGCCGTCGTCATTTATTTGTTCGGTGTTGTGATCGCTTTGCGTAATCTTGAAGATAGGTCGAACACGCCGGCAACGGCTTCACAAGGGGCGGAGTTTACATATCCAAGCCAGTAAGCTCGCTTTCACTGATGAACGAGACAGCCGCCAAGTTAGCGATTGCTTAGGTAGCTTAACACTTGTAAACAAGTGAGAACTTGAGGAACATGCTTTGAGGCATGATTACGTGAGTGCATTCGATTACTCATTTACACGTTATCTAGTTTGTTGTACACGATTTCCTAAAGCAACTGCAATAGAAGCATTGTGCAAATGTGAGTCTTTGAGCTTTCCCTAGCTACCCGAGGTATGAAACCACCCACGCCGCTCAATAGCGCAGTTCTTTATGACTACGAAAGAAGATAATGTATTCTGAAGCAACGCCTATTTTGAAGATTGACAGGAAGGTACATTTCGCGTATAGGAAGCTGAACTGTAAAGGTGCAAGCATTATTTTATATCAAAAGGCACAGGGCATAGGGAATTCCCAAGCAACGACGAAGGTAATATCGGCTATAGTTTTAAACGTGCTCACTGTTTGTAATGCGGGAGGTTGGGAGGTTGTGAGGAATTAGCGTAAGGTGGCTTCTGGTGGCTGTCCTGTGACATTGGGAACATGGGTTCTCCCACCTACCAGTCCCCTATCGGTAAGACAAAACATACCAGATGCTTGAACAAGTTTATTATAAATTGTACATCTATGCAATGATTACCAGCGTCACATGTCTTCAAGATTAAGCTAATTTTTTAATACTCTTCATGGAAGGTTTATAGAGTATAGCTTCTATTCTGGGTATTTCTATGAAGTTAGATTATACGTAAGCTAATCATAGCTTTTCGAACCCACTAAAGTGCCCACCTCCTCAAAAACAAAACGAAAAACAAATAACGGTGGAAGTCCAGGTGGCCCGCTGGGGAATGTTATGCGACCTCCAGTGCGGCCTTGACAGCCTGCCTCCTCCTCTTTTCCTTATCACTTCTTATGTCAAAGTTGACATGGTAATTTTGACCAAAAATGGTACTTTAGCTTGTAACCCTTGTTCGAATGTAGCTTTGTGATATACGTGCTGAAGAAAAAATTGCTTCTTATGCCGATATCTTTTGATTAAAATAAATTCGTAGAATTTTCTCGCTCTGCCAGCTAAGCCCTGCTACACAATTTCGCCGTCTGGCTCCCACTAGTGTTGGCTGCATGCAACGTGGCCCTCATTCTCAACAGGTTGCTGACCACTGGTCTAGTATATCGAACGCCGCACATCAAAAGAAATGCATATTGTTATTATTCATTGAACGGGGTTTAAGAATTCATAGTTCAAATCAAGAAGAGATGGACATGAGCCAGGCACATGCGCGCACGCAGGATAACCAGTGGTCATTAAGGACAACTTACTCGATTCCCAGAGAAGGCAAACGCACGAAGGCGAGACGAGAAGTTAGGTGGGCATAAGAGATTGGGAAGTTGGCAGCAGAAAGCACACAGTACTGGTTTGATTGGCGAAACATGGGTGAGGCTTTCGCCCTGCAGTGGGTGTAGTCAGGCTCATGATGATTTTGAATAAAAATAATAAATATTCTTTCCAATGTTGCAGATGAAGCATGTTCCACGTGCGTAAAAGTGAATGGTATTCATAGAGGACGAGTAGTGAAACATGGCGCTTGTGATGTCTCTGCCATTACTACCCATGCTTAAAACAATAATACTCTATTCAGGAATGATATTTTATGGCTTCAAGTTATGATTAAAAACCTTTAAAAGCCTTTTTTGTGCCCCTCTCAGATATTTTGGTTGATTGTAGTTGTACCAGGATGTTTTGGTGAACATAAGAAACTTATATGTGGCTAGTTGGATCACCAATGTTTGACAGAGGAAACAATTTTGCACCATCGACAGGACGCAAGGTCACAAAAGAAGGTCCTGCAAGCGCCGCTGCACGTTTTGCGACTGAGTAGTCTTTCTGAACGAATGTTATCAGAGCGCTCGTCTTGTGTTCGTTCTTTTTTATCCTGGGTACATGTGCGTTTTTCTTCCCCCCCCCCCTCTCTCTCTCTACACTCTCTTTCTTGCCCTTGTTTCGTCACCCCTCTACTGGGTGACGCTAACGTCTGGCTAACTTCCCAGCGTTGATTCTTATCTCTTTTTTTCTTTCTCTTCAAGGTGCCCATGTGATGCAAATTGTGCAGTTAGAAGGCTTGCGTATATTGCTTTTTTATTCAATATTTACGAAAATGCTCCAGAAGTGCATATTTGTCAATCTAAAAAATTTTGTTATGTAGTCGCGTTGTTACAGATATGTATTTCGGTGGTCACCGGCTTGCAGAAGTCTTTTTGGACGAATACGGGTATATCCAGTCCTGCAACATGTTTGGTGATAGGTGAGTAATTTTAACGTGAACCTCTCGTTTTAATGTTCAAGGGTATTATGCCGTAGTCATTTGCTGAACAGGTGAAAAAACATGGATGCCAGCCACTCTTAAGGGTAACATTAAGCATGAAATAATCATTGTGAACTCACATTTTTGTCTTGGATATAGAGCACATCACCAGAATTGATTTGTTATAAAAGTTGAACAGAAACAACTACATTTTGTGTCATTGTTTTACTGGTAAATGTTTATATCTATGTGATTAACTCATGGCTATAATAATGAAGACGCATTTGGGACCTCTTTTAAATATCTATTAGACAGGTCTGAAGCCGACCCTGACGAGGTTCGATGTACCCTCCTTCTCACTCATTTACTAAATATGAAACTGTGTGCCTGCACACGTGGTCTTTCACCGCCTACATATACCTCTGCAGCTGCAGAAATGGGTGTTCAGTGGCTTCCTGGGGCCACCTTGACGTAACTTGTAAAAACGGATGGGGCAGCCCAAGCAAAAGTTATACTGAATCCCGTTCAGCCATTTCTTGAAGACGTCTTCTCACACATGCTCCGGGAAAAGAATTACTTGAAGCTCCATGTCAGAATCGAGAGGCCATGTCTTTCCTTCTTTTGCTGGGCCATCTGACTGCCTCTGACTATATCCCGAATTGAGTATCCTTCTCCCTTAACCAGGATTTCATTCAGTTTCTTTGTCTGCCTTTCTGTCTATCTGGTGTACCACACGGGTCAACCGCGCGAGCCAGACCTCCCCGGTGACTTAAGCCACTGAAAGGAGGTCTTACTACAAGGCTTTGGGTCACGGTTACTCAAAACCTCTCATGTGGAGCCCTCGATCTTCATAGTTTGATTCAGTGACCACGTTGTCACTCACAGATGTCCCTGACTGCAAATGGTGACTTCAGAATGCCACCATGGCTCAAGGGTGCCGTAAGCTGAAATATTACCTGAACCCATTCTTCATAACGTACCGCCACGGCCAACACCGCTGCGCGTACGTTAACTGTCCCCGTTCGCCAAATTATATGGCATTGCTATGCAGCAAGCGAGTTTTATGCGAGCATGTGGACCACGGCTCAAGCTCTTCACCTTCAACAGCTTCCTTCATGCTTGAGTTTCGACAAATTGCGCGGGAATTGCCCAATGTCTAAACGATAATACAGAGTGCCTCCTCCCCTGCGCAAGAAACCGTTGTCGCTGAACTCTCTATCCTGGCGTTTACACATCCTGAAGGCGTGCGCTGATTTCGTTGACAAAGCAATAAATCTTCTGAGCGCAGCGCCTTCTTCTGGACAAACCTGACTCCCTAATGCCCATTTATATACACTGAGTACGCACTTCTGAAAGAAGGCGGTAAAAGCTGCTTCTCACAGCTTTAATAATCCCAATCACTTATCTACGCAATCATAAATAACGTCCACGTGGTTCATGTGTAATGAGTCAATTCGAAAAGGAACCTTGTCAGGCTCAGCCACTGAAGCAGACAACCCTATAAATTCGAATATGGTAATATTGTGGATGGTAACAACGCCCTTCTGAACGTCCGTGGCCGTTCAGATTCGCGAACGGTGTTTTGACTCCTTCGCGTCACAAAATTTTAGCAACCTATTGCTATCAACCTGCAACCCGAATTTGCCGGGTTGTAGCCATGTACCCCTAATTACCGATAGTTGAACCTACGATAAAAAAAACATAGGTTGGCAGTAACCAGAAAAAAAAGTCCGAAAATTAGAATTTCTCGATTTGAAGAGCCCATTTAGTGAGTTTTTACTGTATCAAGGCTGATAACAATGTTTAGGTCTGCATAGTTTTGCTGTATACTTGAAGCAGCTTGGCAGAGCCAAGAAGCGGCTAGCTAAGTACTAGTAGTACGTAGAAAATGGGCGGAATATTTAATAAATGAAACCGCAACGTAGTTACCAATGATGTTCATTGTACTTAATTTGGCCAATTTCGTCGCTCTGTGCTGTGTTAAGGGTGCCAGTGTGCCAGCTGGCTGGAGGTTGCGTGACAGCGGTGAAGAGCTCTACAGATGAATATACTTGAAGTGTTGAGAGGAGAACGTGCTATATAATGTTTCCATGTAGCCTCAAAAAGCTAGCAGCCTCGAAATGTGTGGTCACCATTCATAGCTACCAAAATTTGACTGAACGGCATAACTTCGAAATCATTGCCATTTGTATGCTGGAATAGCGGTCATGAAGAGAGTGATGTGAAAGGCAAGAAACCTTTCGGCTAGATGGAAGGCTTACCACCACCCCCTCCCCATTTCCTCTGGCCACTGCGCCACTGGCGCTTCCACAATAAACATGTTTTGCATATTTTTTTCAGCATACAAGGCACGTGTACAAACACAGTTTCTTACGCTGAAACAACTAGACAGTAAAATAATTTTTGCTGGTAATTTTCGCGGATGGCTACTGCACGATTGCTTGTCTATACAGTCGATATGCAATGAGAACGCTAATAGCTCTCGTGAAGTTGCAGTAAGTGAAGGCAAATAAATAATAAATTGAATTGTCTGTATACGAAGATGCTTACAAATTCAAGTCACTGTTCAGCTCAGTGAACTCTTACACTGTTTCCACCAGTGTAAACCTACCCATGTATTTAAAAAAAAAATGTCGCCGTGTGTACTTCTCTCGTAGTAACGATGCTGAATAGTTAGCAAGATATCTCTTAGTTTATCCTAGGAGCATTTGTTTCGTGTAAAAGCACTGCTTTAGGGACACCAGGTCTCTCTATTACAGTGCATTTTCACGAGCACCTTAGAGGAGGACAAGAGGAATGCGAGAGCTTTCTGTCTCTTCAAATGCTTAGTATTTGGTCACTAGATAAGCAATATTCCGTCGGCCTCCCTCCAGTTCGTCGCATATTCCGAAAGATGCAGAAATACAGCCTAATAGGATATGCTGATACCAAGCTATAGCGGCTGAAATTGAGCTAATTAGTTCGAAATTGGGGGCATCGCACAAGGTAAGATATGTCCTGCGTTAAATTCGAAAGCACAGTGACACAAAATTCACGTTCATTTGATAGAAGTGTAACGTATGGCCTCGAAGCTATAAAAAATACCACCTGACTATGCTTCGCCCTATAATCGTAAGCACTTTGAGAGTGCCGCTATGCAGCCATATGACTTTGTGGCTTGTCGCTAGTCCCTACGTGTGTCTGTCTTTATTTTTCCCCAGTGTACCCTCCAGAAAGTAGCATTACTTTGTTTTCTTTAGCTATGCGCGTTGTTTGTACTTGGAGAAGCTTAAATGTAAAGATTGCGAACAAAGCAGAGTTGCTTGATCTACGAAAATTTATTTGCTCTATTCACCTCTTAAACTGTTGATTGATATGTGGGGTTTAGCGTCCCAAAACCACCATATGATTATGAGAGACACCGTAGTGGAGGGCTGCGGAAATTTCGACCACCTGGGCTTCTTTAACGTGCACCCAAATCTGAGCACGCGAGCGTACAGCCTTTCCGCCTCCATCGAAAATGCAGCCGCCGCAGCCGGGATTCGAGCCCGCGACCTGCGGCGGGTTAGCAGCTGAGTACCTTAGCCACTAGACCACCGCGGATGGGGCCCTTTTAAATTATAGACACGTGTCTTACATGTTCATGATTACACTTACTAGATTATGCTTTTCGCTTGTAACGCCAATTTTTGTATTACGCTACTTTGAAACCTAATGCTCCGCATGATGTCAACTGAGCTCAATTAAGCTTATTACGAAAGGGAGAGTCAATTACGGCAGACCTCGCCTTCTGTTGAACACAGGTACACATGTTTGGTGTTGCTTCTTTTCACAGGGCGCTTATCGGTGAATTACTTTCATCTGTACCTGCTTCTGTTGTGGATCAAGTAGACGAATATCAGATGACCAACGTTGTGCTGCAATGCACACAGAAGTCTCAGAACGCTAAAGATTCCTATTTCCCAAAGCTTCGGGACAAAGGACTTCAAGGAGCCCTCATGTTTCCAGGTATTTTAAGAACAGGAATGTTGAAACCATGTCACTTTATGAATGAGAAAGCACGCAGCATGGCCATAGCTCTAGGTAATGTTTTATTCCTTAAAGAATGCTGACTATACAGTAGCTTTTTTTAACTTAAGCTTTCGTTGTTGTCATAATAATTAGAGAGCTTTGTAACAATTATTTATAATTATAGAAAAATCACAATATGATTATGAATGACACTGTAGTAGATGACTAGAAATTTTGGTCCCTTGGCATTGCTTAACAATTATCTAAGTGAGCGAGCCTTGAGCATTTTCGCCTCAGCCGAAAATGTAGCCGCCACTGCCGGGATTCGATCCCGTGACCAGCTGGCCAGTCTTCGTGGCTCTCGTTGCCATCATTGGCAAGCAGCGAAAGCTTTTGGAGTAAAGCAAGAAGTATTAGAGAAGAAAAGTACATCTCCCGCGAAAGAAAACCATGTGTAGATGTGAAGCAACGGGAAATAACGCTTACACTGGCGGCGACGTTCACGCTCGCGCTTATCGCGGTGCTGTGCGGGAGAGAAACTGGGGGAAGCGAAAAGCACGCAGTGGTGGACCGTTGTTTTTTTACTGGAACATGTCAATCACTGCTTATGAGTAATGAGAGACAAGAGACTCTGATTTGACACAGAGACCCGCAGTCCGCTTTTAGTTAACGCGCACGCTGAGAATTTTTATTGAACAATGTACAGGAGAAATCTGCCCTTGGAGATCACATCTCCGCTTGGAGAAATCTCAAAAATGTAGTGCCTATACAATACACAGGGTGGCCAGTTAACGGCTGTGTAGCGTGAATAGCCGGTTCTTTCAATCGAGAAACTTACTAGCAGATGCTGCCTACATTAGCGTCGCGCTGCGAGAGAGGGGGACCATCAGAGAGCAGACAGAGGAGGAGAGGAGGCGCATGCGCAATGGTGTTGTAAACACCGTGGGGAGGAATGCCTACAGGAGAGAGAGAGGGGGGTGACGAGCGTAGGTTAGCACACGCTCGTTGTGCCAACGTTGTTGTGATGCGGGAGAGGGGAGCGGACACGCATGCGTTGTAAGGGTGGTCACGCTGCACATCGGATTGAGCTCGAGTCGAAGCTGCTTCGCATCTAAAAACCACGAGGCCTGCGCGAAACGCGCAGCACAGTTACAGCGAAAGCTGGAAGAGTGGCCCTTCATGGCCTTTTTTAAGCACTCTTTGGGTAACTGCTACGAACACACTGGCTGAGCACCCACTACGCCCTAAATAATCACATTCTTGTGTAAAGGCGGGCATTCAATATGCTATCTTTGGAGAACGAGCAGCACTTGCTAGGAATTTTGTGCCAATTTTTATGAAGTGGCTGACGATGATGAAGAATTACGCCTGAGTGGGTATGCGCTACAGTTAACTGGTGATCAAGAACAAGCTTTTGTTATAGGTTGGAGCATTGGACGACCCACTCATTACGTAATTCGCATTCTGTGACGCCTAGTTGTTCCTTTGCTGTTTCCAAACACTCCATTAGTTATACTAACGAGATTCCTTTCCTGACATCAAGCCTGCCTAAGGCAAGCTTGCGATGGAGTTTCAAGCACCGGCTTGGCTCTGCGGTACAATACTTGACTGGCACGCAGGGGACACGGGTTCGAATCCCACTGTGTTGTTTGTATTTTATTACTCAGTTTTTTTTTCCTATTTGCTGTGATAGTTGTTATGGACACCGGTGGTGGCAGCGGCGGACAACTAGAGCGCCGCACGGGACCCTTGTGATCTTATAATAGCTTTCGCTGCAAAATAGACTAATGCATAAAAACGTAAATGGGGCGAACCATTTCGCTTTTTTGGAGGTTAACAAAACGATACTTGAGGTGGTATAGTCAATGTACGACTTTATCACGCCTGCACCTGAGGTGACACTTTCCTCTAGGCACTGGGTTCCGAGTGACATTTCTCAAGCCAAAAGCGCATTCTGGGTGGATGAATAAGTTTTACTTAAATGTTTCAATGAATGCATTTATATTTTTTGGTAAACGTCTTTTCAAACCAACGGAAAAGAAGCAAAACAGTCAGAATATCGCCGCAGTGCCAGCAAGAACGGTGATATTCATGATTCGCTAATAAGTTAAACATAACGCAGTTAGAGTACAGAAGAAATCATTTTCTAGTGACTTTTTCACAAACCACGTGACGCACTATGAGCTCGTATTGATGTTTTAGGATGCATGAAGCCTAGCTTAAAAAGAGCTAAAACATGAGTGTTTCATGAAACTGAGTTCACATCTAGATAGTGGCCTAGCGAGCTGTGCACAGCTATGTGATTTTCGTTAGTCGTTTTGATTATCATATTTCTTTTCTTTGATGTTTCATTTTCCTGGGGGTAAGCATATTTCACTAATAGGGAACGTACTGAATTTTATTAGCTGAGTCGATCTGGTCATCAACACCACCTCAGCAAACCATTTAGAAGGGAGAAGTGTTATGGCGGGCTAAAGTTCAGAACAAAATAACTGTCTGCACTAATTTGGCGCCTAATGGATTCGTAAAAGCTGTGTAATTGCGGACGATCTTCGTGGAGAGCACATGGCGAATGGTGCACCAGAAGAAAACATAGTTCGCTTACGTTTCGAAGAAGTAACATTTCACGTGATCTGTAGAAGTATGACATAGATAACCTATGTGCAGACAGGAAGCATGTCAACCAAGAGCCAGGAAACCAGCACAAACAGTACAAGAATGGAACGCAAAAAGGAATCCAAAATATAATAAACTAAGATTAAATGAAATACTCTTTATTTTATTGTTATATATTTATCCAATACTCTTATTAAAATATCCACGGGGCAGCATCAGGTATAGCCTGAATTGTACCCTCTGACAACTAAAATAAAATATGATGACTGAAATAAAGGTTCAATATTGTCGTGATAATCGGATGAAAATATATATTCCTAAACATTATAGGGGGGAAGAGAAAACATAATTGAGGCATTTGCAACTTCTCTAGCAGTATCAGAGAGGCTTTGACCATTTTACTGTTGTTTGAAGAGGTGTGAGATCTCTCAACTAACTGGTCCTGGTGGGCCTTTACTTTGGATAGGCCATACCTCATTTCTGTATTTTTGGTGTTTGCTGATTTAGTCTGAACATCATTTCTTGACGCATTTTAATACAATTTTAGTGTTGTTTCACCGTGCAGACTTCACGTGAATAATGTTTCAGTTTTGTTTTTCCTTGTGAGATCAAGATAACAAGGTTGGCGTAGGCTGAATGCCACAGAGCAGTCGTTTCAGTGCGCCTAATTGTGTTGCAGTAATGCCCGCCAAATGGTTACAGTTGCCAGACGGCCGCAACGACACCCCAAAGTGGTGACTTTAGGTCGAACGCACAAATTAGTGCTAGACAGCTGTCTCACAGAATACAAGGGCCGATGTCGAAAGTTTCTGCATACATTAAATAGGCTCGGATCGCCAGTTTTAGAATGGACTGACGCGAGAATACTGCATGCAAGATCTACCAAGGCATGCTATAGGTCCGCAAGGTGTCAGACACATGCTGGGCACTATGAGAGGCATCTTGACGAGAGAAACAAGTATGCTTCTGTTAACTTGAGGTAACACCTTCGCTTTGCGGAGCTGCAAAAGAGACTTCGTTGCACCAAAAATACGGACTTGATGATCTCTACCGTAAAGACTGGATGTTCCGTGTATGAAACATTTCTGTTACGTGGACCATTATATTGTAATATTACTGTAATACGCGATTAGGTACCTCACTATTTTTCCATGTGTACATTTGTAGTACTTAAGCTAGCTTTGCAAATGTCTATTCGTGTATTAATTTATATACATGTTTATAGTTAGTGGCAGCATTAAGGTGAACAGTCAATAGGAGTACGCGGGCCACACCTAAGTACCAGCTGCTTCTTAAGCACATTTAAAAACAAAATTATCAAATCGATCGTCTGTTATACATTTGTATCTAACTAAACGTCCCACACGTCGAAGGCACAAAGCCTAGATTTTTATTGCAGATACAAAAATGGCACAACTTTGTGACAGATACAATGCACATGTTCTCTTCGATGTAGTGCTTCAGCCCCTACAGGCCAAACTGCTGTGAGAATGGCCTGAGCTCTGAGAGGCATCTAACCCGCAAACAATATTGACAGCAAACCTATGATGTGGATTTGTTGGCATGCAGCAACACTGCGAACTCGGTAGTTGCATAAGCAATTTGCTGCTGAAGTTCGTGAGAAATTACACTCAAGTTGCATTTACCACAATCTAAAGATCTTGAAAGCAGAGAGAAGATGCTTGCCAAACTTTATAATTTTACCTAATGTATTTTAGGTGGCAGTGGAGTACATCTATCTAGCTTTTGCAATATCGTTCACTGTAATTTTTGGTAATAGTGTATAAATCACACAGATACTACATGATACTGAGGCCCAGCATATTTGACGGTTAACTTAGTGTTCAATCTGCTTCAGCTGAACACTGAAGCACACGTCCTTACTGTCACCTACAGTGTAATTCATAGATCTCACTATTTTCCCAAAGCTGAAACGGTAACGCTACTTGCTAGTTTTCAGCGTAAAAAAATTGCTTATGTGCGTAACATGTCTTCAGTTCAAATACAAAAAGAATTGACCTGCGGCGAGATGAATACCAGGGTTAGTTAAAGGGTACTGACACACAGTTTTGGGGCCTAGATAGCCTGCGGGGTGATTCTCGTCAACATTCGTATATTATCTGCAAGATATCAACAGCGAATATAGCTTGGAAGGTATTTTAAATTAATTTTGAAGTTTGCGTGAGTGGTCGGCTCTATAGGGCTATAGACACCTTCGGAGGGGATCCCGCCAAGGGACCCACTACTTCCCTCAAGTCACCACGCTGCGGTCAACAAAACAAGTTATGACGACGTCATAGCCGCCATTTTTCTTTTGCCGCATTAGTTTCCGAAGTCTAAATTTCTCGGCAGCTGGTGGCGAGTGCGTGGCCGTGGCGCATGCTAAGAAAGTTTTGTATATGGCGACATTGCAGTCCCGTTTCCTGTTCGAAAGTAATTCTTGATGTAGACCGTGCGTAAGTGCGTCACATTGCTGTGTGCTTACGTAGTCAAGAGCTGCCCATGCTAGGTGGTGACAGTTGCACCCAGTTTTTGGAACTCTCTCAAACCGAAACTGATTGATAATGAGGGGCCTGTAATTATTTATCTGTCGCATGCTGCAGCAAACGATGTGTCGTGTCATGACTAGCAGGCCCCCAGCAACGCTTTGAAGCAGAAAAAGGCGAGGCCAAAGATTTTGTGTCAGTACCCCTTTAAGGGGCATGGGGGGCAAAGACTACTAAAAAATGAGATTTTTCAATTTTCATGGCACATTATTTCAGCATTACTGACAAGCGCTTTCACCAAATGGCGAGTTTTTACGTGCATTGGAAGGCATATGAAAATTGCCCTACACGTGCTTGATCCCGTGACTACGCCACGGTAATGCGACTTTTAAATTGTGTTTTTCCCGTGCACTACGTTTCGTCAGAGAAGGAACATTTTCTCTTCAACCACTGAAGTTATTAAATGCAAGCTTTTTTGACGTATTTCTGAATACCATGCACCCTTTATGAAGCAAAAGAACGCTGTTGCCACCAGAATTATATTTTGATGAAAGTTCTTTCTTTCAGAAAAAAAGGCATAAGATTCTAGTAATAAAACGTTTATAGTTTTAAATAATAAATGATCATGCCTACAATTATTATTGTGGTTTATAAGGATACTTTTGGCACATGCAATTACGAGAAGATATTTCACAATTTTACATGAGAGTTCTCCCCAATTGTTTCTTCAAAAATATTACCCGTAAAATCACTTATTTTTCATTATTCTTAGAATGACTTCGTGTTTTCATTCCAAATTCACAAAACATAAAGTAAAATCTCTTTTAAGCAACTTGTAAAATTTTGAAACGTTTCCTTTAAAAAAATGCCGCCATATCCACGAAGTGAATGATGATGAGTGGGCGAAGCTCCGGAGGTAAACCTGGTAAACCATGAATCCTCCGTACATTTTGCCCACTCGATTTTATTGCAACGCTCCCCCTAACGTACGTCGCCGCACTATATCGAACGATGACACGCGCCATATGTGGCATCATTCCTATTTTATAACACCTCGCATCTTTCATAATCAACTACACGTACCGCCGTCTAGTTTATAACATCTTCCATCTTTTGAACGGACGGACGGACGGATGGATGGACGGACGGACAGACGGACGGACGGACGGACGGACGGACGGATGGATGGATGGACGGATGTATGGACGGACGGACGGATGGACGGATGGATGGACGGACGGACGGATGGATGGATGGATGGATGGATGGACGGACGGACGGACGGACGGACGGACGGACGGACGGATGGACGGACGGATGGGTGGATGGATGGATGGATGGATGGATGGATGGATGGACGGACGGACGGACGGACGGATGGATATGGCTGTACCCTTTAGATCGGGCGGTGGCTAGCGTAATACTTAGAACTGAACGAGAGGTGGCTACATACAGGGGACGCACAGCCCACGCCTTAAGGAGCTTCGCTCCTAAAATCACAGTGATGGAAACTAGTGGTTTCACACTTGTCTGTGCTATCCGTCACCTCTAAGACCCTACGTTCTGGAATTGATAGTTTCAGTTTTTTTTTTTTGTGCGCAAAATGTCAGTGGGCAAGGTAATTTTCTACCATGCACCTGCAATTCTCTTGCGTAATCGAAGTTCCATTATGTTGATTTCTGCAATATTTGCTATTTCGCTAACCTGCATTTCACTCAAGGGCACATTCGAGACGAGCTTGTACCGATGTGACATGTCTTGTGGCATGTCCAGAACGTGCCTACTTTATCGTGAGTCGTAAATCCCACATTGTGAAATCATGAAATGTGTTCTTACAAAATATTTTGAGACACGGCAATGTCTCGGCGCAGGAACGAAATGGTGCGGCGCTGGAAACATAGCGACCGAGTATAACGACCTCGGAGTGTCCTGGGAGGCGGACATGTGTTGCCGGGAGCACGACTCGGCCAGGGAGAGCATACCGGCATTTGGAGCGAAGCGCGGAATAAGGAAATAAGCTGTTCTACACAATGTAAGTTCGCTTGCGCAGAATCTGCACCGTTTAAATGGTGGTCTAGCTCACTACAACTGTCTTCAGCATTATGAACGAAAGCTTTGACTTTCAGATAGTTGGCCACAAAAGCTTACGCAAACCTCTAAGGGTGAAGCACTCGACGACGAGAGCTAACTACTGACTGTTATTAGCGGGCGGAAAATTCATTGCACGATTAAAAAAGCACACGCTTAGAAAATGAGCACCACCACCATAAGCCAGACAGGGAAAGTTCGAAGATAAGCACGATCACAGTCTTCTTGTAGATAGTATATTCATATTTAATTTTTGTGTATACAATGGGCTAGCGGCAGTCGAAAATGCCATTTATCCCCGAGATGGATGGTCGACTCAATAAACTTCGTGTCCCGTTGCCTGGTATTAAAAAATTCATATTTCAAGCATGTCCGAACCCTTAGTGATCAGTCTTCTAAGCTGGAGCTTCAGGTAGCCACCACCGCTCCTTACATAAAAAGCAAAGTGGCTGCCGTAGCCGTCCTCCACACAAATACAGTGCTAATTGGCCCTCTCATTGAAACACGGATCAATTTTCTTACGCTTAATAGCAAACCAGCGGGACGATGTTCACAGCGCTCGAAGTGAACAGGGTTGCGAGACGCGGCTACTTTGTGCCAATTTCTCTATTTTTTAAGCTGGAGAGGGTAAGAAAAGTGGCTTGGTTTTTTGTATACTATTTAGATCCTTATATATTGTTCTCTGAATTTGAACCAAGCTACCAATATCTGGTGAAAGCGTAAGAGCTGGCATTCCAGACTGAGATGTCAAAACATGGCGACCGAGGCAGCTTTAAAGGTTCCAGAGTGTAATGCAGCACGCGTATTGCACCGAATACTTTTCGACGAAAGGTGGCTGAGTCTCAGGGACGAATGCTGCATAACGCCCCATTTTGCATATTACCGAACAGTGGAAGCGACTTTTATTCGTGATTGAAAGTGAGCGAGACAAACGCAACCGCTCTTCATGTACTGCGCTCTGCACTCATTGACGTTGCCGATTGGACATCTCACGTCATTTTGGGGCGTTTCTTGGAATTGGAAACGAAGCGCAGGTAAACGATACTCACAACTCCGACTTCATCATCACGCGAGAAATTGTTGCGAAAGTACCTCCAACATATGCTTCGATTCTAGGAACTGTGATTTCTGGGAGATTTATTTGGTGCTCATTTTTATCGTCGCCACAAGATTGTTACTTCTATAGTTTAATGTATCCCTGCTAGACCCGAAAAAAGGGGTCATCTATAACAACGGGCAAAAGAACTTCAACACAATGAACAATAAGATGAACAACTAATGAGTTAATCTTACCATTTATGATTTCAAGGGTTGGTGATATCCTTATTTACAATTCCACCAATGGCTCTTATATGCAGTCACCTCAATAGAAGCCCCCAAGTTGTTCTTCCCTGCGCAGGGCTACCTTCACGCACTTGGCTAAAGTTGGATATGTTTGGCTATTTCTCATTGGCTAGTTCTTTTTCTACCTCTACAGGACAAACTGTGAAGCTGATGAAAAATTCTTCAACTGTCTACTGAACGCCCAAACGTTTACAGCCTTTTCACTAGGCATAGGATACTTCGACATTTTAAGGACAAAATGCTACAAGTACGACAACCCAACAAAGTGCGCTGATAAACACAGGTAAGGGCACGAGCAAATGCGCCGCGTGCTTTTTGGGAATTATTACAACGCACACGAAGCAAGTGGGGCCTCCTATATTGTCTAGACTTTGGAGTTCTCCTCAACAGCTTTTTATTAGAAAAGAAGGGATAAAGATTATGGTGTGACATGGGCATAATGAGGTCAAACGCCAACTGCCCATGAGACCGTCTGACCATATAGATCTTCACGGGGAAATGAAATTTCTTATAAATGGTTTAAGAGTTTTTGGTCAGGCTTAGTGATCGTAACATTCCTTCGTAACTGTACGTGGTCACGTCTGTGTAGAGCATGCAAGCAGCCGGTTTTTGATGTGTGGGGCGAAACCTTGAGGCAGTATCGGACTCTGATGTGGTCAGCCTTACTACTAGGACACAAATGCTCCTGATACACTGCTTCAGAGCCCGAAAATGTCATAGGGTTTCGCGCCGAAGAAGCAAAAACTGGCTGCTCGCGTGCTCCACACAGACATGGCCGTGGCTGTACTAACGTATTCCTTATGCAGCATCGCAACGGGGATAGTAGCCCGCTGTTTGTACGGTGACAGTGAAAGCAAAGTTCATTCGCATTCTTCAGAAATTATTCTTCTCAGGCTAATAAGTCCTTTGCGTTATGGGATTCGAGTAAAGTACCAACCTTTTTGCCGGGTGGTCGTTCTACCATATGAGATATGCCGGAGGCCCCACGAGACGGCCAAGCGCTTACCACGGGTACCGTTTGTGCGCCATGCACTTGACTGAAGGCAAAGAGTTTAATTACACGCACCGCGGACATATCACTGGTATTTGTGGCACGAATAGTCATCGTAATACCACCACGTATATCAACGTCGATTGTGAAATGCACCCAGGGTAAGACGACTATCACTGAGTGAGCCCAGACGTAGGCCGCTAGATAGAGAACGGATTGATATATACAAACGGTCACAGTGCCCATTTTTTCCCAGAAAATACTTCGCATTGCGATACTGGATACGATCTGCGTGTATTAAATCTAACACACGCGCCAATCACAAAAAAAAAACGTTTAGTAAACTAAATTAACCTAGAAACCCACATTCACCATGCATTTCATTTTTGCGCAAGGGTCACTGCAAAGAGAAGTCACAAAATGTCCATTTGTATTCACCATAAGATGAGCCTAGCCTTATTGGTGATGACAGGCAGGGAGTGTTGGCATTTCACTTTTTCGACCTGTACATAGCCGCCATAACGAAGTTGCGTTGCCAGCCACTCATGCGTAACAATCCTGGAACCATATCCTAACTGTACGTTAGCAACCGGGTCTTCGAGACAGCCCAGGCTGTCATGCTGACTTTTCACTTCACATGGCTTAGTTGCTTGGCGATCAGATTCAGCGCCAGAAGCACTTAGGACGCCAGTCTTGGTGCCAAATACATGACCCCCGAGATCTGTATTTTTAATCTAAACATGGTGTCTACGAAGTGTTTTGGTGTTAAAAATTGCTTGCATTTCATTCAACAAAAGTACAAACTTCGCTGTTATTTTTTTTTTCTGGTGGACTCATCACCATCGTTATTGTACTAAATGCATTCCGTGGTCTTGTCGCGTTCCTGTCTCCCTCGTAGGGCTGTCGTGTTGGTCGTGTGTTTGTGCGGTGTCGTGTTAATAATCAAGGCGATGCAGCACGATTACTTCAAGCAAAAGGTTTCAAATAAAATTTTGCGCTTCTCGCCGCTGTTTTCTTGCTCATTTTTTCCTGTTTCGTGGCGGCTGTCAAGCTTCTTGGCCCTTCTACCTTTTTTTTGTTTTGTTTGTGTGAGCCAACGATAAACATAAGGGGTTTTGTGGCATCAGCGTTACGTTGTACCTAGGCTCCATTCCTTAGTGTGACTGAGCCCGAGAGCTGGAGTTCGAAAGTTGGGACACTAAAATGAACAAGTTTAGTGGAGTTTCTGACAAACTTATTTGCACACCTAAAAGGTAACATTCTGCATAAAATGAAGCTGCAAAACGTCATGTCTCACTCAGCATTGTAGTTATAACACATCAGGCTGGCTTCTTTTCTTTACACGGAGCCAATCACGCTTAAGACTCCGTCCCCAAAGATGCCGACCAGTACTACAACATTCTAGGAAAATAGTCGCCGCACTTGCCATTGACACTCACGACAGGTTTTGCCAGGAGAACTGGAGAGTTCCTCCATCTTTTCCCCGGAAAGTCAGCAAAGAACTTATGGCGATCTAGAATTTCTCTGGTCTAAGTACAACAATCCCAGTCGGCACCTTAACACCCAAACAAGGCAGAGCGTCCAACAGTCAGAGCGTCGCCCTTTGACGTCGTCATGCTGTTCCTCTGAGCTCACTTTGATCTATTCGCTTTTTTGCGTGCTATAGCCGAAGACAGCATGTTTTTCGGAAAAATCAAGGAGTCTACGATAATGCGGCAATGCAACCCCAGCCCGCTCCCTGCGACAGCATGCCGGCAGTGAAAGTCATGACAGGAGTTCCACTGCACACGAGTACGGTTATAAGCCCCTTGTTTTTACTGACACGCACTTCGTGCGCATTTCACAATCGGACATTGGTTTGACATTAAGCCTTAACTGCTGATCAGTTTGTTACCTGTCGCTTTGAAAAGCAGTTGTCTCTATTTGAAGTGATTAGCCTTAGCGCTTGATAGAGACATTGTTGTTAATAAGTATTAGCCAAATAAATTATATTTCGTTGTAATGTATGTGTGGTGTGGAACGTTTGTTGGTTGGGAGTTTATCATTGCGATGAACAACTTCAAACTAGCAATTTAGAAACAATTACTCGTGTCATTCCCAATGATTTTTGACTGAAATAAATGTTACTTCTTCCGATGTAGCGCCAAAAATGAGGAAAATATTTTTGAATTATAAACAAAGGTTAATAGAAGTGCAAGAACCTGACACAGTATCTGAGCAGAAATTTTCGAGATTTCAGTGTAAATTTGCTTCGAACCGGAAATTTACGGGTTAGTTGATGACTTATGAACCCTCCAATGCAACTTTCAAAAAATTGAGCGCTGTTGAAAACCTATAGTAGTGCGATATTACCTGTATACAGTAATCATAATATTGCCACAGGCATGGAACGAGGTTTAGCCATGCCAATGCGAGTATGTGCCATGGTGTGAAAAAAGAAGAGGACTGTTGGTGTGCTCGTGTTCTAACGTTCGGTTCGGCTCGACGTCCAGCGCTGCTCAGGTGAACAGACGTTGTGGTCGTTCTGTAATCACGTGACATTTTCTGGTGGAGGTGCTGGGTAGCGTTGTATGCACTGCAATCAGCAGCTAGGTCCTGACACTAGTCGCGACTTGGAAGAACCAGCTGACCTACGGCGTAGCAGGCGACAACTAGGCCTACCTCCTGAATTCGGACCATTTCCACAGCTCGGCAGTACTATGGCTAGTGCGGGAACGCAAACCCAAGAAACATCAATGTTGCCTCCTTTATGGTTCTTCAACGCCCCGCGAACCCCGAAGCCATTCCACGGTGACCCGTAAGAGGACGTCGACGACTGGCTTGATGACTACAACCGTTGCGGCAGCGTCAACGAGTGGAACGAGCAGCAAAAGCTTCGGTATGTCTACTTTTTTCTCGAGGACTCTGCGCGCACTTGGTTTGTAAACCATGAAGCCACTATGTCAACCTGGCCAGAGTTTTGCAACCAGTTGCGGAATACCTTCCGAAGCTCTGAACGAAAGGAGCAAGCGGAACGGCTCCTCAATTCCCGAAACCAGCGTCCAAACGAGAGTGTTGCCATGTTCGTTGAGGACATGTCGCGGCTGTTCAGGCGAGCTGACTTCTCAATGACGGAAGAGAAAAAGGTGCGCCTCCTAATGCGGGGAGTGAAAGAGCAGCTGTTCACGGGACTAGTGCGGAACCCTCCCAGCACAGTAGAGAATTTCCTCCGCGAAGCCACGAAAATGTAGAGAATGCTAAGGCAGCGTTCATACCAGTATGAGCGTCCTGGCAGTCTTTCGTCAGTGTCGTCGGCCCTGCCAACACCTGACGTCACGACTGTAAGAGACCTGACGGAGCTCGGGCGCAGTAATGTGCGCGAGGAGCTGCAAAAACTGAACGTGGTGTCTTCTCCGCCTCATGTTTCTGCTCTAACGGATGTCGTTCGCGAAGAGGTCCGGCAGCTGGTGCACCCCATGACGACTCTGCGTGCAGACGAAGTCCAACCCATGACGGCCCCGCGTCCAGCCAAAGCTCCGCTATTAACGTACGCCGAAGCAGTGCGTACTCCTGCACCAGCTGTTTGCTAACCATTCCGTCCGTCCACCCTGAAGACGGCGCCGTCATTCTACTTAGGACCACCGCAGTACGGCAACCTACCCATTACACGGAAATCCAGTGTATGGCGTGCTCCCGACAACCGGCCTCTATGTTATCACTGTGGTGAACCAGGTCACATCTACCGTGAGTGCGCATACAGGCACATGGGTCTTCCTGGCTTTCGTCCGGATGCTCGTCGACCCAGAGATGGTGAACGGCGCCGTGCTATCGCCGAATACGTGGCAAGCCAGCGATCCTCAACCCTTCCGCGTCGCCAATACCACTCACCGTCTCCACGGCGTTCCACGTCACCCGGCCAACAATCGACCTTTGCGGACGTCCTTGCAGAAAGATCGCCTAGATCCACAAGCCCGCGCCGGGGAAACTAAGAACAGCGACCTCTGGAGGTGAGGCCGCTGTTGATCGACCGTTACAAGACCCTCCCCCGATCTGCCCGCCTACATCCGACGACATCCTTTCACCGACGTGTGCCATCGAAGACAAACGTGTATCTGCTCGCATCTCTGTCCTTGTCGACAACCACCCGCTGACCGCTCTGGTAGATACGGGTGCCGATTATTCCGTTATAAGTGCTGACCTCGCTGCACAGTTAAGAAAGGTAACGACACCTTGGGGACATGAAACCAACCTCCGGACTGCGGGAGGTCTCCTATTGACACCGCTGGGAATATGCACTGCCCGCCTCCGAATTCGTGAGTCGACGTACATTGTTTCCTTTGTTGTAATGCGCGAATGCCCCCAAACCTGATTCTCGGACTGAATTTTCTCCGCGAGCATGGAGCCATTATTAACCTTCGCGACCTGCTCATAACGTTATCTAACGACCATACAGACCTACAAAAAGATGCAGTTGCGCAGACCACAACACTTCGAATTGCTGACGACACCATCGCACTTCCGCCGCGAGCCAGTATATTGGTAACTGTGGAGAGCGACTGTGACAAGAAAAGTAGGGGCATCGCAGAAACTAACCTCTCGGTGCTCTTGGCTCGGCAGATTTGTGTCGCGCGCGCCATCGTCCAACTGAAACATCGGGGGACTCAGCTTCTGATCACGAATTTCGGCTGCCACTACCAACACTTGGCAAAGCGAACAGCGATCGCGAGCATTGAAGCCATCGATGACGAAGAATGTTCCACTATCGCTCCGATTGCCACTGCTGCCGAAGGTAACACTGCCTTAGCCAGTACAGTTGACTTGAATTGCCAGTTATCCTCTGCGCAGCAGCAGCAGATACGCATGATTTTACGTACGTATAGTGACTGCTTTGCGCCCACCTCCAAAATTAAGCAGACCCCAACCGTGAAGCACCGCATTATAACGCACCCCACCGAACGGCCTATACGACAGCACGCCTACCGCGTGTCGCAAAAAGAACAAGAGGCAATACGGTTTCAGTTGAAACAGATGCTCGACGACGACGTCATCCAACCCTCGAACAGTCCATCGGCGTCACCCGTCGCACTTGTTAAAAAGAAAGACGGCACTCTTCGATTTTGCGTCGATTACCGGAAGCTCAACAAGGTGAGGAAGAGAGACGTCTACCCTCTCCCACGCATAGATGATTCACTGGATCGACTTCGACATGCCCGATATTTTTCATCAATGATTTTACGCAGCAGCTACTGGCTGATCGAGGTTGATGAACGCGACAAGGAAAAAACAGCATTCATAACTCCCGATGGCCTCTACGAATTCAAACTGTTACCATTTGGATTGTGCTCTGCACCGGCAACGTTCCAAAGGATGATGGACACCGTCCCGTCCGATCTGAAGTGGGAATCCTGCCTCGTGTATTTAGACGACGTCGTTGTTTTTTCCAAAACATTTGAGCAACATTTACAATGACTTCAGTCCGCCTTCGTCGCTATTCGATCCGCAGGCCTATCGCTAAAACCGGAGAAGTGTCATTTCGGCTACGAAGAACTGAAGTTCCTCGGCCACCTTATCAGTCACGATGGCATTCGACCAGACCCAGAAAAGACCATGGCCGTTGCTGCATTTCCTCCACCTTCGAACAAACGGTATATACGCCGATTTTTGGGTCTCTGCGCCTACTACAGGCGCTTTGTCTAGAGCTTTGCCAACATTGCTGAACCCCTTACCCGTTTAACGAAGGAGGATGCTCCTTTTGTGTGGAGTCCAGAGCAGATAGCCGCTTTTTCCAAGCTTCAACGGTGCCTTCAGAGTGAACCCTTACTAGGGCACTTTGATGAATATGCCGCCACCGAACTTCACACTGACGCAAGCAACATCGGTCTTGGTGCAGTGCTCGTCTAGTGGCAAGACGGCGCTGAACGTCCCATCGCTTATGCTAGTCGCATTCTGTCATCTGCGGAAACTAACTACTCGACCACGGAGAAGGAATGTCTTGCTGTTATTTGGGTGATAATAAAGTTCCGACCGTATCTGTATGGCCGTCCATTCAGAGTAGTTACGGACCATCATGCCCTCTGTTGGCTGGCCAATCTCAAGGCCCCTTCAGGGCGCCTCGTGAGTTGGAGCCTGCGCCTTCAAGAATTTGAGGTTACAGTCGTCTACAAGTCGGGCCGCAGGCACACTGATGCTGATTGCCTTTCGCGCGCTCCCCTCACGACGACATCGAGTGACGATGATACCGATGGCCATTTTCTTTGTGCAGTCAGTGAATCTGACTTGGCCCAACAACAGTGGAATGATTCAGAGATCCGACAACTTATCATATACTTTCAAGGTCACAGCTCGAGTCCACCATCGGCATTCGCACGTTCAGGGTCATTTTGTCTCCGCAACGACATCGTCTACAAAAACAACTTCGAACCTTATGCGACTGAATACCTCCTCATCATTCCAGCAGGGCTACGTGCTGACATTTTATCTGCCTGCCACGACGAGCCTTCCTCCGGCCACCTAGGATTCGCACGTACCCTTGCCCGGATTCGGACTCGCTACTACTGGCCAAAGCTCACCCAGGATGTCAAGCATTACGTTAAAACGTGCAATCATTGCCAGAGCCGTAAAGCCCCACCTGTGCACCCTGCTGGTTTATTGCAGCCTGTTGCACCCCGTCACAAATGTTTGAACGAATCGGCATGGAATTGCTTGGGTCCTTCCCGAAGTCACATAATGGCAACCGCTGGATCGTAGTCGCTACTCACTATATAACAAGGTACTGCGAAACGAAAGCCCTACAACGAGGCACCGCCAATGAGAATGCGTATTTTTTCATCAACAACAACGTCCTCCGCCATTGAGCGCCAACAGTTCTTATCACTGACCGTGGAACAGCCTTTACAACCCAATTGATGCAAGACGTCACGAGACTTAGTGGAACAGCTCATCGCAAAACGACCGCATACCATCCACAAACCAATGGTCTGACGGAGAGATTAAACAAGATGCTCGCTGACATGCTATCTATGTACGTCGACCGCGATCACAAAAACTGGAATGAAATTTTGCCATACGTACCGTTCGCTTACAACACTGCGGTTCAAGAGACTACGGGTTTCACTCCCTTCCGGTTGCTTCACGGTCGAGAAGCAATTACGATGCTGGATGCCATGCTCTTGCCTGACATGACCGATATTCCTACTGATGCGAACGACTTTATCCGGCTTGCCGACGCGGCCCGCCACCTTGCACTCGAGCGGATCCGAAAAGAACAACACATCAACTCGCAGAGGTACAACTCCCGTCATCGCCATGTCATTTACCAACCCGGTGATCTAATGTGGCTGTGGATCCCCGTTCGCCAAAGGGGCGGCTCGGAAAAATTACTTCATCGCTACTTCGGTCCTAGTACTACGGTGCCTCACCGATGTCAACTACGAAATACTGCTTGAAGACACAGCTCGGCGATCTCGATGTTCCCAGCAGGCCGACATTGTTCATGTGTCACGGATGAAGCCACACTACCCCCGAGCCATCTGACACTGCTTCACCATGCATCTTCGTGCGTGTACGCGATTACTTTAACTTTAAATCCACATTGGTCACCGAGGTGGTACTTTTTTTTCGAAGGGAAGGGGGGTAATGCCACAGGCATGGAACGAGGTTTAGCCATGCCAATGCGAGTATGTGCCATGGTGTGAAAAAAGAAGAGGACTGTTGGTGTTCTCGTGCTCTAACGTTCGGTTCGGCTCGGCGTCCAGCGCTGCTCCTGTGAACAGACGTTGTGGTCGTTCTGTAATCACGTGAAAATATGCAATGCAACTTATGAGAATATTTTATAAAACGCAATTTGTAGGGTCTTTTCTCATATTATACAGAATTGTTCCACCTCCGGCTTTATTTAACGCTGCGATGACTATTGCTAACAACGTGGTTCAACTGATTTGTACAAATTCATTTTGCAGGTGGTTCAAGCCGCACATAAAAGGGTCCTTGTCGTAAATTTGTGGTAGACAAGTGGAGAGCCAAGCAATGGCGTGTCTACGACCCACCCAACTTTTTCAAAGCTTATTTCCTCGACTAAAATAGGCGTCAAAGAGGTGAATGATATATGGACTTCAGAAGTGAAAAAATAAAAGGAACAAATAACTTTCTCATATGAAAATTGCCTGTGGAAACACGATAGCTTCTGAAATACATGCACATACACGGAGCTACTTCACTTTTGATGTCGTAACATTACATAGAAATCCGTATAAATGCTATATGATTATACAAATACGAACGATTCCGGCCAATATCGTTTTCCAGGTACGCTCATCTTCAAAACGTACTCCCTTTGCCACCATTCAGCACGCAAGTTTTACTCATTACGGAATAAGTTTCACTCAACCCTATTGTGAGAACAAGCATACTGACAAATAGTCGTGGTGTTTTCGTTAAAATGCAATTCATGTTCTCTATAATTAGTAAAGGTGGTTCAGCGATATTTCTTGAACAGCCTTTTCAAGACATATTTATATATTTATTCAATGTAGCAAGTTAGCGTCAGAATTTTACTTTGTTGCTGCTTACCTTTTGAAAACAGCCAAATTCATAACTTCACGGCAGAGAAGCCCATAACCGTTCGCTACAAAAAACTCAGTTTCAGGGAGTTCATAGAAGTTGAAAATTCCTATCAGAACGCTAATTTCATTATTGCGCGCACTTTTTTCTTTTAAATATATAAATCTAAACTGGGTTCATTATTGTCAACACATGAATGTACCTTTGTTTCATTTTTTCGAAGGCTGCGGAAGTTCTGTGGCTAAACTTAACGTGGAATACAACACCCACTTCTTTGCTGAGCGTAGAGTCTTGCAATAGAGCAAGCAAGAATGCGAAGCTAAGGTCGTAAGCTGCCCTAATTCAGTCACGAAAACATAAACAAAGTCACCTTAAACTGCGCTAAAATTTTGGCACGCTTAGCGTACAGTACAGCAGTTATGGTCTGTTGGTATAAATATACGCACGAATCGCACGCAAATAACGCAAGAATACCGCGCAATCTGCATTATTTTTATCAATTGAACGAAGTTTTTCTCTAGCGCCACCTGGACGGTAGGTACGAAAACGCTGAATTTTGAAATTTCCCCGTCTTTCCGACTATGTGCACGAAAACATTCAACTTCAGGGTCGAAAATCTTTTCTAACTTCAAACCGTGCATCGCCATCTGTAAGTACTTTTCCCTCCCCTCAGCGCATCCCCTCAGGCTGAGCGGACGACATCTTTGCAGCAGGTGGGCAATCTTATGAGAGCACCGGGTATGTGTCATCAGGGAAAAAGCAAGGCCGAATGCTCGGAACATCCGTCTTGTCTGCGCTAATTATCACAACATTAGAACTGCCCCACCGTGGTGGTCTAGTGGCTAAGGTACTCGGCTGCTTACCCGCAGGTCACGGGATCAAATCCTGGCTGCAGCGGCTGCATTGCCGATAGAGGCGGAAATGTTGTAGACCCGTGCGCTCAAATTCGGTGGCACGTTAAAGAACCCCAGGTGGTCGAAATTTCCGGAGCCCTTCATTACGGCGTCTTTCATAATCATATGGTGGTTTTGGGATGTTGAACCCCACATATCAATCAACCCCATTAAAACTATCATGGAAAATGAGCGTTGAGCAACGACAGCAAAAAAAAAAAAAAACACGTGTGGGCTGAGTAAACATGCATGGGCAAAGTATTTGTGAATGTGGCCTTTTTGTTTTTGTTTTTTTTCCCGAGAGAATCTAGCGTTTTCCAGAAGGGAAGTTTGCTCGCTTGTTGGTACGAATATTTCGCATTAAACAACACAAATAGGGGAGAGGTACACACAACCGAATGACCTGAAAACTGTTTCCTGTTTGCTGCGTGTTTATTCTTGTTATCTCTAACAACCTTGAAGCTAAAGCTGCTGCTTGGGTGAATCGGTTCATGATTCAGGTAGATTTCTCGGCGCAAAAACACGAAACGCTTCAGAAAGAACAAACAAACCCACAGCGCTGAACTAGCAACTGGTCTATTTCTTCGACCGCAGGGCCTCTTTTCAATGCACGCAAGATCACTTGATGAAAAGTAGCCATGAAAAAACCTCGTGACAACTGCGTGCCCGAAAAAGACACTCAACCGAAGGTAAAAGCGTGGTCAAAAACCACCAAATCCAGTCTATAGTATACCAGAGAACTGAAAAAAGTAGGCGACCCTAAAATCAACCAGCAAACATGCAAAATGCTGAAGAAGCCGAGGCAGCCACACAAGAAAAATAAAAGAGAGCTTTAAAGTTAACAAAAAAGTAAGAATAAATATTAGAAGTGCATAAAAACGGGGTAAAAGAACTTTTGAAAAGGCATGCGCTATTATATAGTCGGCTTACTCAATGCCGCCTAGACTTAGATGTGTGGCAGCTTGGCGTAGTTGGTATGACATGACGATAGTTCTAGCGCGAGAACAGACCGACGACGCAGAGACAAGGAGGACACGATAGCGCTCGTGTCCTTCGTGTCCTTCTTGTGTCTGGGTCGTCGTTCTGTTCTCGCGCTAGAACTATCGTCATGCCACCTAGACGTCACGCGCCTTGACCGAGTGAGCGCGCACGAAAGGCTGTGACGCCCCTGCCCCATCGTCTCTTGTCAAAAGATGAAACGTTGGCGGAGAGTTTTAGGGCTACATGTACAACAGCTTCATTTAACCGTTTGTTTCTGGATTGGAGCTGGTTTAAGTAATGTATTGTGCTTTAAACTCTTTGGCGATTTATTTCTAAACATTTATTATTTCGCCTGCACGTAAGAAAATATTGTGCGCTATCGCACATGTGACCGTTTTATAAGAATAAAGTTTGATGTTGCAACAAAGATGCCAAGTTGTGAGGTTATTTTTTATTTACGCACAAACACACACACACGCACGCACACGCCTTGTCCGAAAGATGCACATCAATCTATCTCTTGTTATTTTTCAAACGTCTGTACTTTTTCTGCTGATTGGCACTTTTGAACTGTTGTGCCACTGCTTGGGTCAGTGTACATGGTAGTCGTCCCTAAGTATTTCGGCTCGAAATGAAGCTCACAAACCTGAATATTAATTAATGAAGTGATTTATCACATGCTTTCTACTCCGCATGCCCCTCATTGAGGTGCTACAAAACAGGAAGATCTTTGAGGTGTGCACAGGTTTTCAAATTTGATTGAAAAGCAGCAGCACATATTTGAAAGAAATGAATTAGGCGAAGCTACTGGTGAAGCTAGCGCATAATTATAATACCGCGAAAGATGGTCCGAGCAGCGGTAAGAAATACTGTGCAGTACGTAAGACCAGCACGACACCACGCACCAGCCCTCTTTCCTTTCTCTGAAGGCATTGACTGGGGGCATCAAAATAAGACCTAGGTGCTGTGCGCAAACAGCGAAATGTTTACCGACCCGTAAAGAATAACTTCTATTCAGAGAATCTATTACCACGCTTGTTTATTGCTTCATTCTGATGTGTTCGTGGTGCGAGCATCGGAACGTAAAACGCGTCTTACGCTCCGCTTGAGAAGCAGGGTGAGCAAAGCGGGAAGGTGCGTCTACCTCGTTTCGTCGTTATTTTGCAGCCAAGCATACCGCGTGTCGGCTAGAATGCACTCGTCGAAAGCGCGAAATCTATGTATTTTCTATAAGACCGTCTCGGTACGATACGTTATAGTGGGGGGATACGCTAAAGTAGGCTTCCGCTAACAAGCAAGAAGCGTTCGCCACATCATTTTACGAAAAGGACCAAACGTGTTGAAGTTGGTGCTTTTAAAACAACTGAAAAGCAAGTAGCAGAGACACACGCATACCTTCGAATCACGGAGCGAACACATATGGGTGTCATGGTGATGAACGGCACGCTCTCGTATCGCTTTTTTGTCGTCTTTTGGGTATGAAAACACTCGAAACTTCGCCACGTTGTGAATATCGGCGGAAGCTGGGCCCGCAGCACTGTCTCATTTCTAAAGCTATGCGAGCATTCAAAGAACGAAGCACATCACATCAACACGCAACACTTCACAGACGTAGAAAAACACGGTCATCTTCATGAAATCACTGAAAGAAACAGCAGCACTCCACGGCCAGGCTTCGTCAGGCTTAGCAATCCTGCTTTTTCGAACACAGCGGCAGCGTGCATGCGCACGTGTAATCGACGGGGCACGAGGCAAGATATGTGTAAATTGTTAGCGTAGGTTTCAATTGATTGATATGTGGGGTTTAGCGTCCCAAAACCACCATATGATTATGAGAGACGCCGTAGTGGAGGGCTCCCGAAATTTCGACCACCTGGGGTTCTTTAACGTGCACCAAATTTGAGCACACGGGCCTACAACATTTTCGCCTCCATAGGAAATGCAGCCGCCGCAACCGGGATTCGATCCCGCGACCTGCGGGTCAGCATCCGAGTACCTTAGCCATGTTGCGAAGCCACCTCCGAATCCCACCGCTGACCTCCACTGTTGCGTACGACGGACCGATCCCACCGAAGCCACCACTGTTGCGAAAGACGGGGACGCCAACACGGCCCCGAAGGCGCCACTGCTTCCAACTCCGCCGGGAAGGTCACCAGCCGTTTGGTAGCGTATGTTTATCAGCTCGCGACTGCTTCTGCGCAGAGCTGATAAGACGAGCGGACGAGACGACGGTGAGTTAAACAAGGTTTATGTACAGCATATATACAGAGGCGTTACAATTTCGGCACTGGGGCCGACAGAGACTCGAAGAGCCGAGCTCTCCTCTCTAACACATAGGTCAGCTTTTCGCCTAAGACCGCCGACTCACACACATGTCGGCTCTCCGACATGGGGACTCCTCTCTCATAGGACCTCCGATCGCGACGCGCCGCAGGGCTTCTTTTATTTACACCGGGTCCAACCAAAATGTCCAATCAGAAGCGCCGCTGGTCGTCAGGGCAGATTCCTCCAATGGGGGTCGCCGCGCCATGCGTCAGACCACCAGACACGCGGACGCCGGCTCGCTGTCACGTGCGCAGCTGACTCAATGCACGTGGGCCAGGGAAGCGCCGCGCGTGTTCACTCCGTCGAGTTGATCGCGCCAGGCGGACTGCGGGCTGGCCTTGACCCAGATTTCCTTTTTCAGAGGCACGGACGTTTGACG